CAAACCCAAAACAACCCCAACACACAAACCCCAAGCTCCGAATATGCTCTTACATGTCGTAAGCCCCTGAACCTTGAAGCGCACGAACTCTGAACCCCGGCCCCATTACACCTAACCCTCATATCCTTGAGGAATCCCAGCCCCTAAAGCCCTATGCCCCAAAGCCAAAAACCCTGGCACACTTGAAGCCGTAGAGCTTCAAATCAACACCCTGAACCCCGGAACCCTTAGGCCCCTAAACTTTTAACCTCTAAAACGCCTACCCCCTGTAAACCTTAACAAAAGCCCTAAACTATTCAACTTCTCCTCGAGGGGGTTTGAGGGGTTGGGGCGGTTAGGGGTTTGGGGGTCAAGGGTTTTTACGTTTAAACTTGATGGGTTGAAGGGTGCAAGGATGTTTGGGATTGACGTGGAATATGCTGAGGAGCCTATGTTTCTGTTAGGAATTTTATGGTTTATGTTCACACATGGCCAAATATGGGCGGTATGTGCGTGTGGCCGTTTAAAATCTCAGGTGCCCTGGATTTTGTTTGTATTCTGTACTGAGAAAGAAACATCAATGCCCATGGGTACACACGCATGAATGCATGCCAAGCCACATGGAACTGCCACTCGGCTTTCATGGCCCGTGTCTCTGATGGCCAAACATGGCACCCTGGACTGCAAAAACCATGTCATGAACATGCCTATATGATGTTTTCAGCTACCATCGTCTCCTTTGCCACGGTGGGAAATCACTTTGTTCCTGCATTGAAAAAGCAAACAAAATACTTGCCGTTTCGTATGTGAATTGCCTGCTGCTACCAACTGCCAGCTCCATGCGAATGATGTTTTCGATTGCCTGGAAACAGAAAAAGTTAGCCGGTCCAGTAACTTTTTTTGGCTTCAACATAATACGTGTTATTACTTCACTAGTTAACTTTTGTTAACTAGTTAGCCAAGTAAACATAATGAGCTAACAAGATAATCTTTTTTGCTAGTCATGCCAACACTTATAGGTACTTGGCATATATTTAACACATACTTAACACTGACATAAGATATGATAAGACATATGTAGTAACTAGTTGTAAAGGTGTTAAGTAGTTGTAAAAAACCGGGCATTCCAAGCACTACATCCTGGCAAACGACAATAAGCGCCACTAGTCACGACCTCTGCCCCGTAACCTGCAAACCCAGCTCCTTCAACAATGCCTCCGTCACCATCGCCTCTGGGTGTTGAGGAAGCCTTCACAGCACACCATGAGCCCATGTTGGGCTTGCGGCTTCCCCTTGTGAAATGTCAAAGCAAATTGGACTGTTGGAACACAACAAAGCCGTGCAATCCCCCATCTTCGTGGGTAATGTAGGGCCTGCGCAAGGGCGGTCAGCACCTGCGGCTTTTGGAATGTAGGTGACACAGTGGCTTGTGAAGGCTTCGGGCCGGGCCTGTATAAGCCTCGAGACCCAATGCTTTCCCCAAAGCCGAACAACGTGAAACCTTGAGGCCCAAAGAAGCACTACAACCCCAAAGCCCGCGCAGCCTCAATCCGTGCAAAAACCCCCCGCAAACCCAAATTAAGCCCTCTGGCCTCCCTACAACACCCAAACCCTGACGTTGCCTGGGCCATCTGCGGCTTCATGCTCAAGTTCCTGGCGAAAGAGACGGCGCTTGTGTTTAGGGCTTGAGGGGACGTGGTGGGGCCTGCCATATCTCATCCTATCTAATTTTCAATTAAGTGAGAGGAGCATCGGCATGGGGAGGGTAGCTTATCTTGACTTTGAGAAGCGTATGCGTAAAGAGAGAAAGGAAGAGGTAGGCCAGGCAAGCCGGGGGGGGGGGGGGGAGGGGCAACAAAAACACAAAAAATCGGCCATGCACCTGCTGACACCGTCCCTGACCCCTCCTAGGGCATTCTCAGTCTCTAAATCCTTTGCGCTGAGGGTTCGGCTGGGGGGCCCCCAGCCTAACATCCAAATCCTTACCCTACTACAATCCTGCTGATAGCTCCGAAACCCTAAGCCCCAGGATCAGCAATCATCGCCTAAATTGGTTAGGGTTTAGGGGTGCAGGGTTAGGGGTTTGGACATACAGGGATTGTGACCGCCCCTCGATTGTCAATGACAGGGCCTAAAAACGAGCAACTGTGCCAGAATATTGCCTTAATCGGCAGCATGCATGTGCCAGCGTCAGTTGCTGCCTGCAGGCAGTGCCAGCGCTTCGGTGTTTGGCTGCACGGCTTTGCATGTCTGGTACGTTGGAACGATGGTACGAGCACAGGGTCTATGTTATGTAAAGCATGGGAGCTTAAAACGGCTATACAGGGCAAAATGCTTCACGGTGGGTCCGTTGTCAGGCTTGCATTGGGCTGCTCAAGCCCCGTCTCACTGATCCACAAAGGGCTTTCCGGGTACCACACTGCCAGCAACACCCAAAAATCATTTTGCTTGACCCCGCTAAACTTCGCTGCCCCCGGTTCCATCGGACCAGGAACTCTGAACCAGCATGGAAAACTGCATGAAAGGGCTCGATGCCCAAACTTGTAACTTTAGATCCTTGCAGTTTGGTTTTAAAGGAACAGGGCGGGGATGCTCGAAATGGTATCTTTTTGATGTTTGTTCACGTGGTCAGGGCTCGATCGCCAGTTATACGTCTTCGATATATGGATTTCTGCGAGCATGACTGCAACCGGGAAGCCACTGCGGCACACTCTTGCAAACCCTAGAGCCACTTGCTCGAGTACCAGGGACCCACAAACTGCGTGCCTCGGCCGCTTCGAGGGCATCCCAGTCGAAGAGCCCCTGTGCCAAGATGCTTCCAATCGTCCCAAGGTTCTGTCCCTACACCTTTGGCCAGTGACTAGTAAGCCATCCCAAACCTTAACCTCTTCAACTCCAAAGCTCCCATTTCAACTGTCATGCGGTGTTGCGTTGCAAAGCTGCACTCGAAGCACTCAAAAAAGAGGGGGAACATCCATGCCACGGTCGGTTTCAACTTTCAACTCTCAAGACTCTAAGGCTCCAGCACAGGGCGTGCTCGGGGAATCTTCGAGGACATCTGCCTCCTGCCAGGCGGATCAGCACGCAAGCAACCTCAAATCAGGCTTGACTGTAGCAGACCGTTGTTTTTCTAAAGTCCTTCTCGCCGTCATCGGGCACCTCAACCAGCAAGTCCTGCCGGATTTCCGACTCCGACAAACAGCGCCGGAAAGATGCTGAACCAGCGACGTGGCCTGAACTGAAGGATCTCGGCTTCGGGCGTCCTTGTCTTTCAAGGAGATAGTAACCCATCCCTTAGGTGGGCCCTGGCCCTCGACAAGCTCATAGCGAAGGCGGCCCTGGAAGCGCTCCAGGCCCTGAGCATGGACCAAGAAAGGTTTGGGCCGGTTTTGGGGGGGAGCTGTTTGCGCTAGAGAGGGGCATGTCTGTCGTTAACATAACTCAACTTATGAATCCACCACCCCGCGAAGACAAACTGCAGCCACCACACCCAGAGAAAACCGCATCCACCACGCCGCAGAGAACAAAGCACACCCACCACACCACAGAGAAAAACCACACCCACCCCCAAACCCTAAACCCGAATCTGAGACCCGGGCTTTGACCTTCGCTCCAATGGCCAAGCGCTGCGGGTCCGCCGGGGATACGAGGCCCTTTTTGGCCCGGACCTTTTTTTCCCACCCAGGGTCTAGGGTTTAGACCTCTGAGATATTGATGGGAACATTCCGGGGGTTTGGGACTCTGGGATGTTCAGGGGGTGCTGTAGTCATGGGGCACATACTTGTGTTTGAAGCCACTAAGCATGTGGGAATCATTTGCTCTGCGACTTGGACTCGCCAGTTGTCAATACTGGGCTCAGTGCAATGATACCACCCCGCTTATCACCACCCACCTGAGCGAGGCTGAGAAGGTAAAGATCATGTGCATCTCAGAATGCAGATGGCGCGGGACACACGCAGCAAGAACTGGGAAGACCACCGCGCGCATACTACGTGCATACTTGATTGCAAGATTGAGGGTCAGCATGCTTGCAAGCTGAGGTGATGGCCACGATCCACAGGCCGGAAGCACTCATTGCGCAGCCTCGGCGAATGCGGTAGCCGAAAAATGCGACAATGCCTCAACAGATCAAAAACTAAGCTGACTTACATGGAAACTGAATTGTCCAAGGAGCTCTTGCCGTCCACTTTCCACGCGGGTTCGAGCCAGCTTGAGCTTCCATCGGCAAGTACAGCAAACATATGCATGTGCTCTACGGCTTGGGCGATGGATCTCAGAGGTCTATGATACTCTGATACTCTGCCTGCGAGCAGCATGATCGCAAAAGTGGCAACTGGCCCACCAACTGGTGTGTACTGCCATCCCGAGAAAGCCTTATGTGAAGACTGAAGAAATGCCAAAACACCGGATTCAAGAACTAAGTAGCCGCTCAGTCCAGAAACTGCTGAGGCAGGAGCCGGGCAGAGACCTCCTTGGCCCCAACAAAGAACTGCCATCGGAAGTTCAAAGGTTTCAAGGGCTCTTTGCAGTGCGCAGTCGTTGTCTCGCAGTACATATTTCCACGTGGTCATCATAGATGGCTCCTGAAATGGAGAGAAACCCTCAAATCAGAGCCGTGCTACAATAAGCATCCCCAGAAGGAACTCGACGTAAACAACTCCGGTGGCTTCAAGCCACGTCCCGATCTTTGCGAGAGCTACCAGGGGACTTCGGGTCGAATTCGGAGGTATTGCAAGATATTGCAAGGGCTTAGGTGCTTTAAGGGCTTGGGGCCTGGTTGAGGCTTAGGGGTTTGTAGAGTAGGGCTTAGGGTTTACAGGGCTTCGGGGTTTCATTCAGGCTCTGTCCAAGCCGCAACCCTTGAAAAACCCTGATTTTTGAATGCTTGCGTCACGAGGATGACATTGCATCACCGTCGCCCAACAAGGCCGCCGGCAATCCGTGGACCGTGGACCCAAATCAGATCCAAAAAAAGTGAAACTACACAACAAGCTCTCAACCGAACGCTTCGCGATTCGGGTTCAAGGAAACTCATCACAGGGCCCCACTGGCCCGAACTGCTCCCACTCATCCCGCACGATGGGCGGGTCTTCTGACCCGGTCTGCGCACCCCAGGACTTAGCAAGCTCCTCGTCGCTGGCTTTCTGGATGTCGGAGAAAGGCCCGTCTGCAAAGGATGGCGTAAACGGAGGCTCCGTCTTACGCAGGCAGTCCCAGGAACCATGGGGTGCAGATATTGTCCGGAAAAAGCTGTGCTTCGCAAGCGACTTCGCCCCGCCCGGCGCCCGGTTCGAAGGATTCTTCACCAAAAGCTTTCGGATGACATTCCTTGCTGATGTGGGTACAGATTTGGGGAATGTGTACTGGCACTTCGTGATCCGGCGGTAGGTGTCCATCATATTGGGCTCGGCAAAGGGCGAGACCTCTGCAAAAAGCTCGTACATCATGATGCCCACTATCCACCAGTCATAGTCGAATGAGTGGCCCGCCATGCCGACGACCTCGGGCGCGAAGTATTCCGGTGTCCCACACGTTGTCCAGGTCTTGTTGACGATGATCTTCGAGAACTGGAAGTCAAAGAGCTGGAGCTTGCCTTGGAAAGAGATGACGCAATCCTCTGGCTTCACGCACCGCAAGACGATGTGCAAGCTGTGCAAATGCTGCAAAGCACAAATGACGCTGGCCATGTAGTACCTTGCATGGGGCTCGCTCCCATAGAGCCTATCGCGCTGGTAGATATGATGCAGGCTCGCACCGAAGCCTTCCATGCAGAAACGGAGGTATCTCGGTGTCTGGCAGCAACCGAGGTAGCGAAGGATGAAAGGGGACCGGCAACAGGAGGTGGTCAAAAGCACGAGGCGCTCGCCTACCACGGTTTTGACCTTGTCTTCCTTGATGAGTTTTGCTTTCGACATGGTCTTCCAGGCGCAGAGCTGCAGCTCTTCATCCGGGTGCTCGACGAGGTCAATCCTCGTCCCGCCGCTGTGATCGAGGATGCCAAGGCACCCTCGGGCCCGAAGCGTCGAAAAGTCCGTGCTGACGACGCCAGGCAGCAGGTCCGACACCTCCTGCACATCTGGACCTGGCACACGTTGCCCATTGCGGATCAAGGCTGCGACGTCGGCGACCGAGTCAAGAAGACAAGCTGCAGACACTCCCTCAGATAGCTGGCGGCGGACGAACTTCTGCAGCTGTCCATTGTAGTCAGAGTTCTGTTGAGCCGCAACGGTGCTGTCTTCAACCTGTGTGGGCCAGATCGCCGATGCTGATATCGCCGGCAAGTTGAAGCGAACACCACGCATCACGAGGAGCAGCAGAAGAAGTACCGAACAGGCCGTCACGCAGAGAGCCACGACGAGCAAAGCAACGATCAAGTTCATGGCTCTGTCACAGGCTGCCAAAACTTCTTAATTCAGGCTCCACGAAATGTAGTGTTGTGTGCCTGCTTGCCTCCGTGTCATTGCAAGTTCGTACATCCCCATGGTTGTCTATCCATGGAGTACTCTGAAATATACTGAACAGCCCGGAAGCACGGCAAATCAGACGACATGGGAAGAGTGGCGCTGGCAACAGAGGCTCGGCTTCTAGGAGCTGCCTCAACTTGCACCAGCAATCCTATCGCGAATCGAATTCCTTGGGGCCTTGATGATTAGAATAGGGTTTAGGGGCCTTTATGACTAGAATAGGGTTTAGAGTTTAGGGCTTGTTGCTGGGCTCTAGTAGGGAGTCTACGAGAGATCATAACTTCCAGTTGTTTCGACCCCTTTTCCCGTCCCCCTCCACCTGCTGCCGCTGCGCCATCATACACCAAAGAAAAGGCAAGATGGCCCCGACAAAAAAAGGACCCAACCCCTGCATGCATCATCTTTGAGTTGCGACACCAAAATCACAAAAATCCATAATATCATTCCTTTCGTCAAGCCCTCGACGAACCCCCCCCCCCCCCCCCCGAACAAGCCCACGCTTGACACCCTGTAGACGTCCACACCCCATGCACACAAAACAAGACAACAAAAACAAGAAAAGAAGTCTCGAGGGCGTGGCTCCAGGGGTGTCCCGGGTGTGCGCGACCTGGGCTTCATCGGTTGCCCGCTTCAGGGTTCGAGGGTTGACCTTGGGGGTGGCTTCTCCGGGGTTTACGTGGTTGGGATGCATCCTATACCGTTTTCAAAAGAGTTTGGAGATGTTTGGGGTCTATAGGCGTCTACAGGGGCTAAGCATGACAAAGCGTAAAGCGTGAGGAGCCGTTCCCTGGCAAGATTCTGTAAGGAGCCCTCCTTCAAGGAGAAGGGCAGTGTCTGCAAGCTTTCGGGGGCATTCGCATTCCTAAATAAGCGGGCATATTCAAGACCCGAAAAGGGGGAGCTAAATAGCGTGGTTTGCGCTTCGGCAGCATCTTCATGAATCCATTGCGGGGCTGCAGACCAAGCTCCCGGCCTATCGGCTGGCGAGATCCTGGCGTGCCAGGCGCGCACGCGCAGCGTTTTGGAAGGTGGTGGTGGGAGGGAGTTTTCTGGGTGTAGGGAGGGATCTACGTTTTTTCGCGTTGAAAAATGATTGAAGGGGGGTTGCGGATGTCTGCTTCGGCCTCCAAGATTTATCAGGTCTGGGTCCCAGGTATGGGCTGTTTGGGGTCGGCTTGGTGCCTGCAAGCCTGGGACCAGAACTTCGTCTTGGGAGCAACACATGGTCCGGTGGGGTGGGAATGATTTCTGGGGGTCTCCGCGTCTCCTGGGATCACGCGGCAACCGCACACCGGCCACAGCACTCCGCTGGACTGATTGAGCTGATGGGCCGCTGTCGACAGGCACCCGAGGATGCGAGGATGCATCCGAGGCCACAAAAATGAGCTTCTGGGGCGCCGGTCGCATCCAATCCGGGGTCAGGATTATTACTTCAGCCCGCGACATGTTGTTGTGCTAGATGGAAGTTAAATTTAGATCGCAACGAGCGGAGGGCCTGTGCATGCAGCGCTAGGGCTTGGGCTGTGCTGCTCCGGTCTTCAACACTACACAACGCCCGCACATGAGCTTCCACTTCAGTCTTCCAGTGGGCTGTTGGCCGAGCGGACTCCAAAATGCGATCCATACCTTTCTAGGGGTCTATAGAGGCTTCCTTCCAATTTCACGGGACCAGAAAATGAGAACTACCGAACCTAAGGACCTGCCAAAGTTAAAGGACAAGGAGGAGGACGCAAGGGAACCAGAGCTGGAGGATGGGATGCAGCTCTTGAATTCACAGAACAAAAACGAACACCGAACTGCACACCAAACGCAAGAAGTGCGCCTGGCCTTCCGGTCCAGGAGCGGATCTGACTGCCCCATCCACAGGCTACCGCCAAGCTTTGTGGCTACAACCCGGACGACTGAGTTAAAAAATCTGCCAGCCTGCTCTCGCTGTTGCTGCTCGAGTATCTTGCTCAATTGAAACCACGCCACTGCTCTCTCAATGAAAAGCCGAGAAGTGCTCGGACTCCTGGCCAATCAGCAGGCTGCAATCTCCAGCACTGTAACTTGGTAACTTTGTAGGTAGCGGCAGGCATCTGCAGTGAGGCCAGTCGTGTGACCCTTGTGCTTCCTGCGATGGCCCATCTCCGGCTTCCGAACATGCCCTCAATTCCTCTAAACTCTGGATGCCTAGGTGCAAAGCTTCAAGCTCACACTGCCAAAAGAAGCATCGCGACACGCAGCACGCAGAGCGCGGCCAGTCACCTCCCCGGGCTACGCTCCGACGCCCACGTCTTACCCGGATCCCACAAGAAGAGGCAGATTCCAGAAATGCGCACGTCACAACCATTGGGGGCACATTCTTCGGGGCATGCATGCGCTGCCTTGTGAAGCGCAACATGCTTAACCGGAGTAACTTGAGCAACACCAACCTGCCCCCTCCAAAACTCCCCAGACCGTTCTCTGGGAAGCCCCGCAAGAGCCTCCCTTCCTCCTCCCCTCAAGCCCACACTAAACTGTCTGAAAGCATGGGCCAACTCCAGCTTCTGCGCATGCTCCTGGCTTTGGGTCTGAAAGCTCGGTTGGGAGCGGACTCGCTCACTGAAAAGTGAACACCATGGCGAAGAGTAATGCCCTCCCCTTGTCATACAACCCCGCCTGGCCCGATAATTATATAATACCTGTATGGAGAGCATCTATGGCGAAAAAGGGTGCGGGGATTGTTCTGACTATACCAAGGTGGGGAATGACAAAGGCACCCCAACACCCCTGATATCCTGTGATTGGCCAATGGCATTTTTCCTCTGCACTCGCCGGTACAGCTTTGGTCTAGGCTTCGGTGAAACGCTTGGGGCTGGGAATCTTGGACTTCGGAATATAGGGGTCGTGAAATCGGATCGTGGATGCGCTGCTCGTGGTTGCTTCACATCGCCCCACTGGTTCGGATATCCACCCAGTACTACTCGTCATCCTACTGGTTCGAATACATTATTTCTATTCTCAATTCCACATTGATTAAGTGAATCATTCCCACACACACACACCTATATGCAAATATGTCCAGAAATGAATGAAAGAGTATTTAATAGTGTGAAAGCGCTTTCACTGGCGGTGTCCGCAAGAGGAGGCAAGGCCTGAGACAGTCAAGGTGGCAAAGATGCAGAAGCGCCACCCTGCTGGGATTCGAGCTCGCGGACTTGCGGCTTGGTTCTGGGCAGGTACTTAAGTACACTGAGTACACGCACTACAGGACTCGCAGCACATTGGCGTAGGATAGGGCACAAGACCATCTAAGGGCCGCCCACGCATGCTGCCGCCGACCTTTGGTGCATCTTATAGTATCGAAACGGAAGCCCTGGTGCTACCGCTGAAGGCGCCGCGTAACAAGCATCTAGCATACCCCAATCGCAGGAATCCCCATCCACACGTAAGAACCATGAAGTTACGCCGATGCTGCTAATCCCCAAACTCACGCGCCCTTCACACGCAAACGCATGACGCACATACCCCAACGACACCAAAGTCCCACGCCACGATGTGGCTTTCGGCGATGTCTGCGAACCCACTTACTACCTGAACCCGAAGCACACACACACACATACACACCTCCGGGCTCAACGCCTTCCTTTTTCGGCCAACTTCTCCAGCGCGGCACGCCTCAGCGAACACAGAATCAGTTGGAGCCAAGCCAGGCCCTGTTGCCAACACCAGAATCTAAAGCATGGGCAAGCTGAACCAAGCATAACTAAACAACCTCAGTCGAGCAATTCGTGAACATCCACCAAAACTGGTACACCCACTGCCTGCTGACAGTGGTTTTGGGCTTAGTCTCGGCCGCAGTCATCAGCCCCAAGATTTGAGCAACTAATGTCAGGGGGGGCACGAGCTCGCACATGGCGCAACCTAGGAACCCAGAAAATGAGAACAACGGTTGGCCGGGAGTTTAGATGTCCACCCGACGCAGCGCGAAGGGAAGGAACAAATACTAGAGCTTCATCACGTACCTTGTTTGGAAGCAATGTAGGCCTCAGGACTGCTCCCGAATCCACACGAAGGGTCCCAAACCATTAGAAAGTTGCTGCTGGGCCAAAACCTGAGCAATCCTCTTCATCTGACTATGGTCCGAGCCAGGCTCCCAGAACTTGGGACATGATCGCCTCGGAGACTCGAAATGCTTGAGCCAAGAACGCTTCACGAGTCACGAGTGACCGGGCGCAAACTGTTCTACGTCAAAGGCAAACTGAGCTGGTACTGGGAATATTAGCCAGGCGCCCAGGGAGGGTCCAATGTCAAGAGGCCCAAGAATCAAACATCGGCGCGTCTCTTTTTAATGCATGAGCCAATCGCATTCGCGATGCTTCGGGTTGATGGGGCTGGATGGGCCATCTGACATTGGGGGTGCCTCACCGGCACGTAGAGAGCCCATGAAGTGGCCAGTCTTGCAGGTGCTTCTAGCAGCTGCATGACACTGCAAACTTGGGGTTTGGAGTTTGGGGCTTAATTATACACCACAACCGCCTCTCACCCTACTACGCAAGAGACTGGAGTGCCTCCCGGCGTGCCTGGAGAACGGCGGGGCGCGTCTCTGGCCAGATCCCGCGGGGCCTCAGAGCTGCAGCCGCGGAGCTTTTGCCTTCGCCAGTCATGCGGCCCAACGCCTGCGCCGCGCTGAGCGCCACCTCCTCGCTGCGATGCGTCAGAAGGGGGGCCAGAAGAGCGCTCAGCTCCTGCTGCCTGTACTCACTGTACTCCGAACTCAGCTCTGATCTTGCTAAGGCCTCCAGGCCCAGAAGGACATTATCACGCTCTTGGCTCTGAAGACTGCGCACCAGGCAGTCGAAGGGAACCACGTCTTCAGCCAGTACTCTCAGTGCTTCCCGCTGCACGTAGACGTCGCTCTCCTCTGAGTACTTCAGCGCCGCATTCCGGACGCCTTCGTCTTTGGCGAAAGGCATCAGGAGGGATAGGGCCAAGCACCGTAGAAAGGGCTCCTCCGCCGCTTGGAGGAGGGACGCCTTGATGTCCTCTTTCTGATCAGGCTCCAGGCCTTCGAGGCCTTTAGCGCTGAGGTCCAGTGCCCTCATCGCAGCCTCTTTCGTCCAGGAAAACTCCTCGCTCTTGATGAGCCCCAGCCTGGACCACCATTTCGCTTTTTGATGGGCACAACTTATGCTTCCTCATGTAGAAGGACCCGCCTGAAAGAATGCAGATTCTAGTGCGAATAGCGCACTTTGATTCTACGCAAAGCCAAAAGGAGCCGAGCAGCAGAAGCAGGTTGGCGAGTTCCGGGGCCTTCTTGGGAATGACTGCAAACGTCCTGCGGCATTGGTGCCGGAGGAGGTCGTTCTGGCACTTGAAGCCTTTGCTGCACTTGTGCTGTTGGAATCTGAGGCTTGACCCCCCAACAGGCTTCGGTATTTTAGGCACCTCCAGGAACCACGAACCATCACAAAGCCCAAAACTCTGCCCCGCGATCCGGGCGCCCTCACACAGTTGCACCAGGGTCTCATGCTCCGCCCCTCCGTGGTCGCGCGCCAGTCGGACCAGGCGCTCCGGGGCCTTTGGGCGCTCCCACCACGTGGGAGCGGCAAGGCAAAGCCGGGCCAAAATCCTCACTGCAGTTGCAGGGGTGAGAAGGATAGACTAAACGGAATCAGGGTGTACTGTATAGGGTTGAGTCTGGCTGAGGGAAACAAAGCCATGGAATCACTCTTGTAACAATATGTAACAATCAAGCCCCTCTCGAATTGCAGGGTGTTCGTGTCTTTTGTTTTGGCTGGCCTTGTGAGGTGCCGAATGGCCTTTTGGAAGAAGCTCCGGCTCGTCTGGTCCAGCTGGTCCAGGAGCTTCATGGTCCCGGTGACCGGCGCCCTGGGGAAACTGAAGGCGATCTCCGGACTCCGGACTAGGGCTCCGCAGGGCTTATGGTTCAGAATGATTTTCGGGTTAAGCTGCCCCAAATCGGACCACATCTCCCTCTCCCCCCCCCTCCCGCCAGTTGGAGTCGGCAGTCTTCAGGATGGGCTCCGCCTTCTCGATGAAGCTGAGAAGCGGCTTCAGCACCTGAACCTCGTCGGGGACCGCGAGCTGCCGGGTCTCTTCAAGGATCCTTGGCTCCAAAGAAGTCCTCACCTCTGAGAGGAGCGCCACAACACCCCTGCAGCTTACGCCTCAACAAGAGCCTTCTTGGGCTGTCCAAGGAACACCTCCCTGAATCTGCAAGATGTCGCATCCTGTCACGGGCAATGCGAGTCCCCCCTCCCCCCCTGCATCGAATCTGGGGTCCTTTCGTCTTTCGTAGAGTTCCCCGAATTTAGGGAACTGCCCAAATATGTTTTCTCTCGCGGCGGCAGTGCAACGTCTGTGTTCTGGGGCCTGACTTCCTTCTGACCCTGCCACGGACCAAGCCCTTCAAAACCCTGAACTCTCAAACAACTCACTCAACCCTTAAACCCCTAGACCCTTAACAAAACTAAACCTTGAAACCCAACTCACACACCCCCTGAACTGTTTCAAGCCCTGCCTCAAACTGCCTTAACCTCCACCTCGCCGGGCCTTCTTCAGCTCGGCGCACAGGGCCTCCAGGGCTTGAAGGCGGGAGCCCTCCGAGACGCGGACCAGGGACTGGGCCACCTTCAGGAGGTCGTCCCTGCGATGCTTCTGGGGTCTTTTGGGGGGTTTCGGCTCGGGGTTTGGGCTGCTCTCTTCATTCTTTTTTTGGTAGGGCGGGGGGCGGGGGTCGGCAAACTACTGAAGGGATCTCGTTCGGACCAACCTTCTTTCCAGGTGTGAGTTTAAGACCCAGACTACCCCCAGTTGCCTTCAGTTCCAGGAATCCATACGTAGAAACTGATCTGATCTCGTCTTGAGGCAAACTTCTCCAAGTCGTTCTGCCGAGTTTCCCGGAGACGTGGCCAAGCGCTGCCAGCAGGGCTTGCACCAGCGTCTCCTCCTCTCCTGGTGTGGGCTTGAAGCCTTTAAAGGGGCCTTAGGAGTGGAGGGTGTGTTGAAAGAGAGCACTACAGGCTTGAAGGAAGCCCACCTGTCGCAAGCTGAGCTCTGGAAGGCGGAACGGGAACACCACGCCCACTTGACAATCATCACCAGCACCCAGAACACAGCACAAAACAACTAAAAGCCACCCCTTCAAGACCCTTCAAGACGCCATGAAGAAAACCTTCTGCTTTGCCTTCGCGTCCTTCCAATTACTGGGGGGGCTCCTTGTGCCAGCTCAGCCGCCCAAGCACTAGCACGTGCAAGAACCCAGGCGGGCTGCGTCGGGTCCAGGTAAGCCAAGAGGCCCTCAGGACTTGGCAGGACAGTACAGGGGATGCTGTTGTTCGCCCTTCAGCGCTTCAGCCCCGGCAAGCCCTAGACACGCCAATCCTAAAACCCCAACATAACCCCCCATCAACCTCGAAGGCTCCACATGGCCTCCATCAAGCCGGCATGGTCCCGCTCATTGACCAGGGCAAGTGCCTGTCTTGAGTTCGAAGTAGCTTTGGAGCTCTTTCGGGTTTGGGGTGGAGGACACCCTTTTCAGCTGGGGCTGAAGCAGAGTTGCTCTTCGGTTTAGGGTTGAAAAAACTCTCCTATGGCACTTGTGGTACTTGTGGTTCTTGGGCGCAAGGTTCGCAGATGCACGGTCAAAGGTTTGCTATACATATATATATATATATATACATATATGTACATACATACATATTTATTTAGGGTCTAGAGCGATTGGGTTTTGGGGGTTTTGGGGGTTTGGCGACTTTGGGGGTTTGAGGATTTGGGGGATTGAGGGTTTGGGGGTCTGAGGATTTGGGGGTTTAGAGGCTTCATGGGGTTTACAGGTTTGGGGATTTGGAGTGTAAAGCTGCAGGTTGCGGCGGAAAGTTGCAGCTTTGCCAGCACTTGTCCGTATTAAGCCGTGAACTATAGGGTTGCCGGCATGTCACAGCGATGTCGACTGCAACATGAAGCACTCTAGCCGCGCGCGAAGCTCGTAAGCTGCCAAGTGCACCACTTCCAGCATTTGCCGGCGTTCTCGACACTGCAAACAGATCAAGCATTCTGAACGTTCGCAAGGCTCCAAGTCTTGCACACACCCGCATTCCCAGCATTTACTCCGGAAAACTTCCGAAGCCGGCCGTAGCTGGAGTTGGGAGCAGGCTGGCCTTCCACCTTCAACCTTGAATTGAACACATGCTTGCTTCCTGTCGTTGTGTCTTCGGCAAAAGTTTGCAAATTGGGGGCTGCGCCCCCACCCGCCCCCGCGCTAAAGTGGTGACGGTGCGTCATCTTTGTCATTGAATTTGCGTCCGCCGGCCCCCATCCCCCAAACTGGGTCTACTTCGCGAAAGACATGTCACCGAGGGCTGATCAAAGATCCTTTAAACACAAATCCAGACTTGCCCCTGAAGCCCTGTTGGGACCTGCCCGAGGCAGTCGACGGAGGAGCCAGACCGGTCTTTAAAGAGACTCCCCCCCAGTAGGAGCTGGATCGTTTGGGGTAGGTCGGCAGCTGGAAGCAGCTCCTTGAACGCGTCCAGGCAGAAGGATGAATTCCTCGGCTGAACTTAGGGTTCAGGATGCTTTGTTCTGCGAGGTTGCGCAGCTAGGGTTCAGTGATGTTATGCGTCGGGTTCAGGGGTTGAGGTTGAGAAAGTGCTGCCGCACTCTCAGACCGGAAATCACAACCCTCAAGGCTGTTCTGATTGCCGGCGCCTTTTTCAGGTACGAAGACCTTGTTTGTATAACAGGACACTCATTCTTACCCACTCTGTTCCTGGGTGGACCGCCACAGACAGGCCGATATATCTGCGAGGAGCTAGGCCCAAAACTTAGCGCAACCTATTATAAGAAGGGCCTCAACCCCCTAAACCCGAAAGCATACAATACGTGACCCTCCGAAGTGCAGCCTGGACGCTGCTCGACGCCCGTCACAATGCTGGCGAAGACCTGGTGGCTGATAGCTCAAAACCCAAGCAGGGCCCTATAAATCCCCAAGATCAAACACCAAAGTCCCAAGTTATAAACCGTGGCCCTGAACCGTGAACTAAGAGATAAACCCTATGAATGTAAACCCCTGGATGTTTTAGAAGCCCTAGAATATAGACCCTATAAAGCCCCGAAAGCCCCCCCACCTGGGGGCTGTCGGATCCGAGGTAGAGAGCCGCCTTGACGCCGAACCTGGGCTTGGCGCGGCTCAGGTCTTGTCAGTAGGTTTATTTGGGTGTTTATTTGGGGTGCTTACTTGGGTGCTTATAGAGCTTTGAGGATTTGTTAGAGGGTATTTATAGGGTTTATGGGGTTAGCATGCAACCGACACAAGCATGGCATGGGAGAATAACGACTTCTTGTAGAGAGGTTGCTGCTTGGATGTGTTGAAGTCACTCCGCTGAGCACGTCAAGAGGCGCATGCCCACCCATGCGTATACACATCCGTTGCCATTACCACATGACAAAAACGCAAGTTGAAACACCGAAAAGCCCGAAACCCACATGTTAGAGGCCTTGTGAAGCAGCTCACAGATCACGGAGCAAGCAGCAAACTTAAGTTCAGGGGGGGCGAAGGTACCGCTGGTCCGAGTTCAACAAGCTGCGAGGGACTCATGGGCGTAGAAGTGTGGGCTGGCCGTCAAGAACATGGACAGCACTTCCGGCCCAGGACTACAGATGCGCTTGAGGGACCTCGGGGCAAAGGCTGGGAGGGAGGCTGAGGGTGCCTACACGGTTCACGGTCCGCTGCCTTTTAAAGATTCAAGGTCACTGCTTGAAATCCAAAGCCTGGGGCCAGCTGGACATTGAAGAGAGCCTCGTAAGAATCCCTACAGTATTTCCTGGGTGGCTTGTGCATCGCCCACTTGCCGCATGGTTTGGTAGCAGAACTTTCATATGAAGTTTTAAATGCTACTGTACTGTATGTGCACATCATGGGGGCCTCAAGGGTCATTGTACTGGGAATCGTGAGAATCATGAGGCTCTCTCTGGATACTGCTGCAAATGTTGGCAGTGTAAAGTCGATCGCGCTCCATGACTCTAATCTCACATCCCTGAAGTGCTTGAAATGATATAGTAGCTAGCAGTTTTCTTGAAGCGAATTGGGATCTCCGGTGTCGGGCTCTTGGAAAGGCCTGTCCGGCTGTCAGAGAATTTGAGGCCCGGGAGAGGCCAAATCATGATGATGTCTTTTGCGGGACCGCTCCAAGTTTAGCTTCTAACTTCTTCAACCGTCGCAAACCCTAACTTTGCGGGGGGAGCGCTACCTCTACCAAAGAGAGACATAAACCTGGACTGAGCCCCCGCCAAGGCACTGAAATGCGGCCTCGGCCGTGTGCCATCCTCCCCAGCACTGGCACAGAGCTGGGATGCTCCTCTCGGGGCACTTCTCCCCAAGCGCTCCCAGTGCGAGGACCGCCTCGCAGGGCTTTCGGCCCTTGGAGAATTACTTGGTAGGGAAACCTGAAACCATCTGAAACCCATTTAGTTCTAGAGCCGGGATTCAGGGGTCGTTTGGAGTTGTGGGGCAAGCCAAGGCCGCCTCCAGTCTGGCCTCTCGCCCACCAGAATCGATGGCCTGAAAGGCAGGCTCCAGGTCTGCGAGGAGGGCCAAGTGCAGGGCGCCTGCCGCAGAGCGAAGACCGCAGGAAGTTAAGATAGATTTTTGGGCTTAAGCTTGGGGATCTAATTATAGTCCACGATTCCTAGATCCGGGACTCAGAAAGGCTCTGTGACCGTCCCAAGCCCTGAAACCTCCCTGACCTTCAGAGCCCAAGGTCTCCGAGCAGTAGACGCTCAAGGGGGCCATGTCCTCGTCGGCTCATTGATCAAGGTTTGAGCCTTGGGGTGTTTGGGTGGTTGTGGGCACCATGCCTCCGGGTCTGCGGCATAGACTTCGGAGCCTTGTGAGGTTCAAAGGTCTTGGGCGGAGGGGTTTGAAGGCAAGCATCATGCAGCTCAACGCTCCCCAGCGCCGCGCCAACGTGCGGGGCAATGGATTGTTGCGCTTCCTCTTGGGGTTGCTGGCTTTCAGCGTGTGCCCAACAAGCCATGAGGGGAGTAGCTCCAGATATCATCTACCTAAAGGGATCCGCGAAAGCCCCAAACACGGGAAGTATCCCAGTGAAGGCCTGGAAGTTCTTAGAGTCTTAGAGGGTGGTTTGGGATTGCAAGCTTCGGGCCGGAAGGAAAGAAGGAGTTTCCTAGTGGCTTACAGGGTTTTTTGGGGTATTTCCGCCTGGTGGATTTTCAAGACTTCCGCCGCAAAGATGCAGAGGACCGAGCACAGTGCCTCGGCTTTCGCGTGTCTCCCGCGTCCCGCGAGCAAGGAAACTCACTTTCAAGCTCTCCGAAACCCTCACCCTCAACCCCATGCCCTCAAGCCCAAACCCGAAATTCTACACATTCTAAACATTCTGAACATTCTACGCCCTAAACCCTAAGCCCTGCAACCCTATAAACCCTATAAACCCTATAAACCCTATAAACCCTATGAACCCTATAAACCCTATAAACCCGATAAACCCTATCAACCCTATCAACCCGATAAACCCTATAAACCCTATCAGCCCGAAACCTCGTTCCCCCACCTCCTCCCTGCAGACTCGCGACGCTGACTTTGGACAGGCTCTTCGAGGCCGTGTCACCTCCCAGCTCCTCCCAGGTGCTCCTCTCCAGGGGCTTCAGGGGCCCTTAAGGCTTAGAATGGCTTAGAGGACTGTAGGGTTTAGGGTTTAGGGTTTATAGGGTATAGGATTTAGGGTTAAGACTCAAGACCCAAAAACTTGGCGCTTGAGCCTTGTGGGAGTGTAGGGCTTGAAGGGTGCTGAGGAGTTCTTGGGGGGGGCCTCCCACCCCCGCCGCGACTCCTGGCCAATTTCACCTGCGGAGCACGGCTTAGCGGCTTAGCGGCTGAGCTGGCTTCGCGGCTGAGCGGGCTTGAACGCAAACCCAAACCACCAAACTTAACAACGTAGCGTCTGAGGGCTTTTGGTGTTAGGCGATTGCGCTCTAGCTTGGCCAAGACTCGGGAAAGAGCTGAGAATCACCGAAGGAGAGGCTTCACTGGTGGCCGCTTCCGGGGGTTCGTGTTAATTGACTCCTGACCTCCCACGGGACCCAGAACGGCGCCTGCTACCCACATTCTAGCCACTGCCCCCGAAGCCCGGAGTTTCACAATGCAAGCCTAACTGTCGAGAGCCCAACGTCCTCAAAAACGAACAGCACTCACAGAATCACGCGTGAACCTGGACCCCACGTACGTAAATTGGGAAATACGGGCCTTCCTTGAAAAAATGCTGGCCTTCCTTTCCTCCAGCTCCCCAGAAACCGCCGACGCCACGATGCAACGCAAGTTCTCTCCTTGGCTGTGACCGGTGTTGTAGGGTGTTGCAACCTGGACCCTCCCATTCCATAAGCTCACGCTATTTGGGTCATATGCATTCTGAGCCCTAATCCCCAAAAATGTATCAGAGCCGGTCAACACAGGTGCACCCCAAACTTCCCAAACCGCAGCAAACCAGCCCAGTCACGGAAGGACATGTAGTCTCCAAGCATGGTTTTGCCTCGGGAAAGGCTTTGGGGCTTTTCAGGTGGAGCAGACTGTATCTGATTCGCGATGAAGTTGAAGTTGTGATGAAGGCCTGCATAAGAACCAACCACATCCTAAAGAGCCCAGCACCCCGAAGCTGAGGAATATACTACTGCAAACTATACAGGGGTAATCATTGAAGGGGTATTGAGATGTCTGGGATTGCTATACCCAGAAACATCTGGCACTTGAAGTCGCATGATGGGGCCTACATCCTCCCTCGGTTCCATAGAAACCTAGGATAAGAGGCAGGGCACCCTTGCGGACTGTACTTGGATTTAGTTCAGTTTATAAGCTATCAGAGATCCGCATTGTCATAGGAACCCCAACTGGGACCATAGTTTCGGGAGTTTTTCCATGTGGAGGTCACATAAGGTTCCAGCACTGCTGTTTCCCCAAAGAAAGTACAGCGACCCGCTGAGCAGGGTAAACTCGGCCAGGTCTCATTCCCTCCAGCTGCAATCCGCGAACTTGGTTTTCTTCAGCGACAGTTGGCCGAAGGACAGTGCTTTGGGACTCGCGGCCAGAAGCTGTAGGATCATCACGACGGACGTGAAGCAAAGTCTTGGTGGCCTTGCCATAGCCCTCACCTGCAGCAAGACCCAAAACGCAGAGGTTCCCCTAAGGATCTCCTGCTCCCCTACCTCTAGAAAAAGCAAACAAAAGTTCAGCTTTTCGCACATTCAGCGGCCCTTAGGACCGTCGCAGGAAATCCAGACCTTTCTGGAGCGACAACAATTTATCGCAAGTTCCAACCTAAGGGCGTTGAGAAGGGCAAAGCGGGGAGGGGCAAGGCGGGGGGGGGGGGGGGGGTGGGTCCAGACTATGTTGACAACAGTTTCTTCTGTTTTGTCCAGTACTTTCCTTTAGTATTTTTGGGGAGGGAGAGGGGGGGGAGGGGGGGGGAATGTCCGGTCCGAAGTTGGGATCCCCAGTCAATCACCCCCCCCCCCCCCAAAAAAAAAAAAAAAAAACGCTTGTGAAGGTGGGCCTCGGTATACATGTTCTTCTCAATGCGCTCCAAGAGGTTCTCAAGCTGCTGGGTGAGATGGGGCATGCTGCGCTCGAAGATCAGCCTCTTGGAGACGTTGTGTAGGACCAGCCTCGGTGGCTCGGACGTCCTTCAACTTGGAGCTTCATGGGTAGTTAAAAACGATGGTCTTTACATTCTAACCCTGCTGACCCTACTTTCAGCTACCCATGAGACTTCGAGAAAGGATTCACGCACATCCTCGAGCATCTCTTGGAGAGCCCATGAATCAAAGAGATTGCTCACCTGGCGACCTCCCAGACTTTTCTGAACAAAAGGTTTCCGAGCAACCTATGAAATTGAAATACTGGGCATCATAATGGCCTTTGCAATTGCTGAGGCAGGGAGTTGTTGAAAGTAACTTGTTGTCTGCATGGAGAAGCCTCTTTTTTCAATGCAGAGGGGATGGGCGCGGATGTTGGCAAAATGGTGCAGGACTACTGCTGAACCCGCAGCGGAACTCTCACATAGCTCCTCACCTGTCATCCCAAAATCCGCCGAGGCCTCGGGCCGAAGGTGTATAGGTTGTCAGAACAGGCACCCCCCTCCAAATCCTCCCAAAAATGGGTACCCCTCCTAGGAGAGCAGGGGCCGCCAGCGGATGGTTCGCCAGGACCGGAGGCAGTTGCAGCCCTTCCCAGCAGGGGCCCCACCCCCCCCCCCTCCCCCCCC